TCAATCTTTGATCTTTCTGTTGAGAGGGTGATCTATTAAAGACTTAGCTAGCTGGGTACCTACTCCCTCGACAGGCTGCCAAACCCATTGCTTAAGGTAACAACCTCCTATTTGCCAGATCAATGCTGACCCTACGTCAAAAGCTCAGTCTCCTTTCATCAAATCTGCAAGTTGTCCAAAAATACTTTATTAATGGGGAAAGGCAATGGTGGGAGGTAATTGTGGGAATCACAGCAGAGGCTATGTAAAGAAACTGAAACATAGAAGTCTAAGATTTCTGACTGAAAAGAAGAGCATATTCATCCACCCCAGTGCAGTTCAATAAACCCTCTTAATCAGACAAAAATCTTATTCTGAGCCAGATTCTAATTTTATCATTTTCGTTGATTTGTGGGGAGGCAGAGAGTTGAAGGGGCAGCTGAAGGGAAAGTCCTTGGAGCCACCTATCCTCCTTGCTGAAGGCTGGGTGGCTCCTGGGGGACATTAGGTCTTTTGAGAGTCTTCTTCTGAAGGCAGGACATGGGAAAAAGGATAGGCAACTTCACCTGCTCCTTAACAGAGCCTCCCTCAGCATGCCTTTCCTCTGAGATGCCTGTTCATTTTGCATTAGCTAGGGCCTCAGGCCAGGCTCAAGAGTCCTTATTCTGTTGTGCTGCTGTTTGAGAACATGGACGAAGTCATCAGCCGACTCCTGGAGCCCTCCTCTCCCTATGCATCCCAGCAAAAGAAGACAGAAAGTGTAGGCAAACAATAATGCCAGCTGAATTGCCCAATATGTCTATTTAATTAGCACTTAGAAGAGTCCCAAATGTTGTTTTCTCCTTGCTTGAAGGAGAGAGAAGAACATGTCACTGGCATTGCAGAGGGCAAGAGGGGTTTTATAGATCATTTCACCTTAATAGTCATGGAGAAACTATTAAAATGCATATCCAAATTGAAAAGACAAAAACAAGGTCCCTGTAGTCCTGATTTTCCTCTCTTGTACATCACCGGGATGTGGGGTTTAATTTAGCAGCATTTAATCCCTCTGGACAAATGAAAGGGGTGCAGGACACTGATTTTCTATACATCTGCAACTCTCCCACTGCTGCAGAATTGGGGTGTGTGTGTCTGAAAATATTTCTCCATAAAAAGCACACATGCAAAATAAAATCTTTTGCCACAGTTGTTTTCAGAGGCACAGTAATTTGGAAAATGTGCACAAATTGCTCTAACAATTATTGATGCTTTTGAACTTCCTGCCCTGTGACAATGGAATTTTCTTGCCCCCAAAAGCATCAGTTCTGCAGGGTTCCTTTTACTTTCATTGCTGTTATCTTTTATGACAGTCAGCCATAAAATCAAATGTGTTCCCTCAAAACAACTTTCATCTTTGTTTTTTAAAACCAGTGTTCTTATTCTTTACATATATTTTTCCACATTAATGGGAAAATATTCCAGTAAAAAACATAAAAAAGACCATGCCCTGCCTTGTATTTCACGTACAAAGGAAATGAAAGAGTCAAAGATGTGCACTAAAGATTTTCAAAGCACCCATTTGCCTTCTTTATGAAAATGCTTAGCTTCTTCCATAAAGAAGAAAAATTCCAGCAAGTCTGAGGATTAAAAAACTGAATGTAATGACCTTCTATGTAAAGCTTCTGGCTTCTCAGACTCTATCATTGGAATTTTTTTTGCAAGGCTCTCTCTTCAGGCTAATTTAATTAAATAAAGTGGTACTAGAACACCCTGTCACTATTACTGTGCTCATCCTCTCCAACCAGAAGGCAACAACTCCCACAGAGTCCCTGTGCATGTTCTTTACAGCAATGCTTTACCTACTGTTTAAAAATATCCCACAGTGCAAAGTGCGTATAACTATAACTGCCATTTTGTACCTTCTCTCTGTTACAAAGAAAAAAAATATATATACATAGGAAAAAGATATAAATATTTATTTTCCTCTTTTAAAAATTAACCTTCTTAATATGTTCAACATTTCTATCTAGCAGCTCTCTTCAAAGAGAGCTTGGCTGCACTCTCATTCCATCTCTTGTGCCACTGCTATTGCTGTGCTGTTGTCTCTGGTTTTATCAATGACAGAAACAAATTTGCCTTATAACAAGAGTTAATCATCTCTACATACATTTCATTCCTGGGCACAGGCTCAAAGTCCATGAACACATAATCTTTTGCAAATCAAAACCTATTTCTCTCTTTCATGCATCATTTACAATCCCAAGATGATATACTGCTAGCATCACACCTGTATTCTAGTCCTCTTTCTTCCAGATCACCCCTCCTTTAGAAAAGAAAGCACAGGTGACCTTTATGTTTTTCCTCTCATATATTTTATTGTCTGTCTTGTTTTCCTTTGCTTTGCTTTTGTACCTAAAGAACTGAAAGAGAAAGCCTGGTTCAAAAACGGCAGCAGAAGACCACCTCAGCATGGTGTTCTTTGTATTTAGGCAGAACAGACCTTAAGAATGGGAAAATATCAGGAAAGAAGAATGCACCCAGTTTTCAAGTTGCTGGGATTACACAACTGACCCAGCAGAAACACTATGTAACTGAGATCCCTTTGAGACCCGGGCTACCCATGTAAAGGCTAGACCTGACCTGGTTTCCTGGTTTGGGGACAATTTCTCCAGCCTCTCTAACTGCAAGCCTGAAGCCACCAGCAGCGTAGGCTTGGGCTGCCATCCTTACGCCACCCTCTGAGCAACTCAGTCACTGCTCTCTGCCCTAGGTTACAACTACTGCACTAGCTGGCCAAAAATAGCAAAAGAAACCAAAATAGCCTCAGAAGTGGTAGAGTCAAAGGGCTTTGCCAGCCTGACTGGTGCAAGCTGCCAAGCCGATACCTCCTTCTTTGGGCACCAGAACAAATCCTCAAAGTCACTGTCTCCTGCAACTTTTTCTCCAGCTCCATCTGCAGTGGATCTATTTTCCCAAGCTTCCATTGCTTTGAAGGACATTATTTTACCACTACCTTAAATACATTGTTTACCCGTTTCTATACTAACTATGTGCTATGAGCCCTGATTCTCAGTCTACTTACAGGAAAGTGCACGAACACTGCAACCGTGATATGCATTAATCAACCTTTTGGCAACAACCAGGTTGGCTGACAAATTTAGGTTCTGATGACAGTTTCGTTTTAACAAGCTATTAGTGTGACTGGGTTTGTGGCTCTTGTGCTAATAATCTGATGTGCACAGCTTTTGACACCCTCCTCCCCCCCAAACTCTAGGACATTATGTTAATCTCTAACTGGATATGGGTTTCATTTGCATATAATTGCTGCTGTTTGTTATGCAAAACATTTGTCCTCTAATATATTCAGATGCATCTCTTTTCAAGACTGGCCTTCTACACTTGTAGAATGCAATTTGATTTTTGGCATCATGAAGTTTTTCTACACCTGTAGTAAAAAATTTCACCTGTAGAGAAATATTTTCATGTTTCTAAAAGCTTAAAAAATTAACACAGTGATAGCTGCCCTCCTGCTTGTCCTTCTTTTTTCCAGTGGACTCCCATGGATGAAAAAAATTGAAGATGTATTAAGTAAGAAGAATTTATTTTTTTAGTTTTTCTGCTGCAGTCAACTTGTTGAAAAAGCCAATTCTTACAAACAAATAAACAGGCCCAAAGTTTAATACAGATTTTGTCTACAGCCTTTCTTCCTACACCCACCTTCTCTTTTTCAAGCTGAGAGCACCACAGTACCGTTAAAAGCTTATGCTTTTGATCTCTGTGCAAATAAATGAGCTGAAACAAATAAAACCCGGTTCACAAGAGACTTCCAAGACATCTGGTGAAGTTATTTTTCTAAGTAATTAGACCAAGTGGTGGTGTAATTCCCAAATGAAAGGTACCTTCTTGCTCAGTATCCAGTTATTTCTCAGAGCCATCAAAACAGCAGTAAGTCCCACTTCTCTCCTTGCATGTGACTCAAACTCTATTGATTACCAGTCTTCCCAAACGGGAACAATCATATCTTTGATTTATGCTGGTTTATTACTCAAGTTTTTAAACCTTTTTTTTTTTTTTTTT